GCCCCAGCTGCTGGTCTGCTTTCCCCTATCACTGAATTAAGAGTTTCAGATTCCCGACTCCTGGTTATATGAGTCTGTACAAGATTATTTGCTTACCTACTTTATACAAGTGAGAGGCAGCTGTGTTACAATAGGAAACAATAAGATCCATTGTTGAGAGACAAACTTCGCAGAGTCAACAACACAGTGCAGGTGGCTTTGGGAAGACAAAGAAGATGATACATTCCCTGCCAAGATTTTGAGCAAAACTTACCTACTTCTGTTAACACTTTGGTGCTGCATATATTATGTTGTGGGAGAATTTTAGTTGCAGTAGAGGCAATAGATTTAGATACTGAAACATAATTTATCCATAAAAGCGACCACATATCAATGTATTTGTACACTAACATGTCCTTAACTTCTCTCTGGGATTATTCTTTCAGCTGGCATTTACTGTCCATATACGCAAAACGGTGAAAACTAGGAGAGATTTTATTCATTGCTTGATCTCCCTTCAGAGACTGGCAGAAGCATGCAAAATAGCATTACTGAAACAGCTCTGTGCTGTGGATTTTCATCCCCTGAGAATCCAGGAGAGGCATCTTTTAGCTAGAGAAATTTATTGTGTTAGAAAGATCACAACAGTTGCAGAGTTTAGGCTCAGACTCCAGTTTCAGCTTTTCCTCTTATTCTGGTACTAACTTGCACTGACTTTCAGCAAAATTTTCTCCATGAAGGAGCAGAGGACCTGTCCTATACATCATTCCCCATTAAAACATGGCTAAAATGCAAAGGACAGTTCCTCATTTAAATGACTTCTTTCCTGAAATACATTACTTTCCACAGGCACCTTCCCCCAGGGTACCTGGGGAACCTATCTGGATTCCTATTTCAAAATATTATAATTGGAAATATTCCTCCTTTTGTGCCTTCCTTCACACTTTCTACAGCCCTCAAACTGTAGAAAAAAGAGGGGGAGGCAAAGGCTTAATACTCAAGGTCTGCATATGCAAAAGTAGCAACCACTGCTGCTTTTAGTTCCTCCAGTCAGTCTCTGCTGTGCTCCCAGTCTGACTGGTTGGAGAAGATATTTCATCAGTTCAGAGTTCAGCCCTCAGACTATATAATCTTCCTCACTGATTCACAAGCCCCTCCTCCATCAGTCATTTAGTGACACGTTTTGTGTTGTGAAAAAGAAACTTTTCCTGTTCTAAGCCTTGTATTGCGTGCACATCCACAAAGAGAACACTGACTGTTTAAATGCCTCTCTCCTCTCTGTTTCTTCCTCAGGCAAGTATGATCAGGTACACTGAAAGGCAGTAACTGGCAGCCTTACTAACAAAAACATCCTCTCTGTCTCCAAGACAAGATACAGCATACTAAGCAATCACCCAAACCACACAGCTGCTCAGTAGCCTCAAGATGTGTTTTTGGGACTAAGCATCAATTCAACCACAAACCATTCAGTCTTTGTCCTATGTGCTGGGACTGCTGACAAGGGTGCTGCTTCCAGTAGGAAAGCATAGCCCAAATAACTGCTGCTGGACCAGAAAAAGGTCTCCTTCTTAAAAGTCACTGCAGTATTCACTTTTTCTGTAGTAATTTCGAGGTCTCTGACTTACTTTCACATTCTAATGTAAGATTTAAACCTTGTCTTATAGTTGAGTACTATAACTGATAGCTATAACTAGGCTGATAACTCTAACTGAAAACTGTAAGTGATCTTTGGGTCAACTTGAGCCCATACAGGTTGAAAGCCTCAGAACCGTTTGTTTCTGCAAGCCAGCTATAAACCCCCAAATCAGAACAGATAATCTAGAAGTAAAAGGAGATTTCCCATAACTGTTCCAAGTCCCTGTTCTGGCTCACCAGCTTTGCCTCTCAAGATGGCAGGTCTTCTGGCTTGAGAACAATTCATTTGCCTATTTAAATTTAGATTTTTCTTTAAAATGGTGGCTCTAGTGTGATTTTCAGTTCATCCCTTCAGTTTCATCCCTTAAAATTTCCAAAGGAATAAAGGCTAGGAGAGAGAAGCATTCTATGAAAATAAATAGAGAATTAAAAAAAAAAAAAAAGTTTTTCCTTAGAAAAATAAAATGACTGAAGGATTATGCATCAATCTTCTTCAGCCAGTTGAAGGTCAAGTAAATCTAGCACCTCCTCTATTTAGGGTTAGGCACTTCTAATGACAGTATTTTCCCTCCACTTTCCTGCCAAATTAGACAGGAAGTCTAAGATTCCCAACTCTTAAATCTAAATGGAAATTTCATTTGCACAGTTTCATGCGATCATTAGTCTGGACATCCCTCCCTTCCCAAACCAGATGCTCAGGAAAGCCCCTGAAAGTTGGTTAGAAGCTGTAAGTAGGCTACAGTACTGTTTTCCACTTTGGTTTCTTCAGAAAATTTTCCAGGCCCAGAAGCTGGGATTCATCCAATACAGGTGAAAACTAAGTTGGGTCACAGCTGCCCTAGATTCTCTGTATTGTTAATACAAGACCATAAGAACTTCTGTAAAGCATTTCAAGTACTAAAATCCTCTCTCCCTACAGTAATATCACAGATACAAAGGGTACAGAGCTCTTGATTTACAAGTCTTGGACAAATATCAGAAGTTAGATGCCATATGTTTGTGCAAAATTCCATTGCCTTCCTCTTCTCCAAAGAAGTAACTTCCCTGAATAGGAGCTCTTGAGGCAGCATAACTTGGTAGCTTGGCCACAGCCTCTCCCGTATCTCCAGGGCTGATAGATTAACTGTTAGACTTTAAGTAAAGTGCAGCATGTATCACATACACTTAGTTCTATTCTGTATAGTTCCTAAGTTCCTAGTGTCCTGAGCAACCAACATCCTGAGGACATATTATTCTGTTACTTTTACCTTTTCTCTTTCAGTTTCTTATATTCGTTTTGTCCAAGTTATACATTTTCCTTTTAAGTTCCTGCTCTTAGGCACCACATTTTTACACTGTTCACATTTTCCTGTGAGAACTCCACAGCTCCTCTTGGCAAAACCTAGAAGTTGGTGAACAGACCTTCAGTGACTCAAACATCCAGTCTCGGGATGGAATAAATTACAGGGCTCCACACATAAAGAAGCTGAGGATCCACGAGTCCTCTAGAAAGGATGCCCCCAGAGACTTCAGAATTACAAAGTACGTATCACCAAGAGTCACACTGTAACATAAAAATACATTTAAGAACTATTCCATTTAATAATATAATTTTTACATCTGTAATTCACCCTTTAAAACATTGCTATGTCCTAATTATAGTAGAGAACAATCACAAATAAACCAAGATATGTTGAAGCAAAATATCTTCCTGTGTGCAGTGTCACTGGAAATGGATTCTAGTATATTTATTATTATGCAGTTGCAAGGTGGTTGCTAAGCTATTGAAGTTACGTGCATAAACACGATATTTTGCTGCCCAGATTTTCACAGAATAATAAAGCCATATTAAAAAGCACCACCACCAGACCAAAAATCAGCCTCCTAACCACACATATACATGTACAGCAGGGAGGCAGCATCTGGGAGGTGTCTTAAAGGCAAAGAATTTAGGAGCTGGGGTTACCTAAGAAATGACTGCGCCACCTCAAACCAACAGTCCATCAGCCTAGTACTATGCCTCAGATAGGTGGCAGTGAGTGCTCCGGGAAACTATATATATATATATGAAATACTGTTAACAACATAAAATGATATTCCCTTAACAATTTCTTCAGCCTCCACTAATCTGTGTGGTTAATGGATTTATCTAGCCAAATATAACTTTTTCTTTTATATGCCTTGATGGATTTGGCTCAACTGCTTTTGAACCCCTGCAAAACTTTAGCAACATGAATCACACTGCTCTGTAACAAATTCTGCAGCATTCATACAATTTGGGTGAACAAATACTTCAGCGTGTTTTGAAGATGGATTGCCATCTTCAAACCAGCTTCTCAGCTGGCAGTGAAATGAGTGGTGATAGCAAAAGATTAATAACTTTCATGCATGATAAGAAAGCTAATACACTTGTATCACTTAAAAACAAGACTTAGGTTCTTGTTTGTGTGGATGAAAAGGAGAACAAGAAACACCCCAACCCATTTAAGGTGTGGATATTGATCTGGTATGAGGCAAGATTTGGGGCATAAGCAATCTGGCCACTTCCAGAGATGGGGCATCCACGGCTTCTCTGGGCAGTCTCTTCCAGTGCCTCACCACCCTCACAGTAAATAATTCCTTCCTAACATTTAATCTAAACCCCTAATACCCTCTGTCAGTTTAAAGGCATTCCCACTTGTCCTGTCACTACATGCCCTGGTCTGAGGTTTCTTTCCATCCTGAAGGTGAAGATGGACCCCCCGAGAAAATAAGCAGAGGCACCAACAAATTTTCAAGCTTTCAGTTCAAGACGTTAACTTTTGGGTTACTTTTAGCAAAACTCCCAAAATGACAGGCCATCTGGTTACACCACCCTTGTCACTGCTTCAGTTGCCGGCTGCTGGCCATTACATGGGGCGGGCAGCAAAGGAGAGTGAGAGGAAGCCCTGCTAACATCAGTACATGCCGATGGGGCCGCAAGCAGGGGTGGCGGTTACCTCCTGTGGTCCGGACTCCGGGAAAGGGCAACTACACCACCGCAACAAGCACGGGCAGAGGAGCTGCGCAGCAGGCCTGCGCAGCCCCAGGGGTCAGGGGACCGGCCAGGCAGGCTGACGGGACAGCCGTGCCGCCGCCGAGGGCACGCTGCGGGTGCGATGGAAGGAGGGGGGGTGCGCGACAAGGAGCCACCTCCTCGCTGAGGCCCTGAGGGGGCAAACCCTTGCTTTTCTCTTCCTGTCCGTCGGCCGCCTAACGCTTCACCCGAGTGCTTGTTTTCGTGAAACACAGAATTAATCGAGTTCGTGAGCTCGCGGGGAGCGCGGGCTGGAGAGGACGGAGAGCCCAGAGCAACTGCTTTGTTTGGTGTTCCGTTCCCGCCCGCTCCTGTTGCCGCCAACGCTGGCGACACGACTTTGGCCCGGAAGGCGGGGAGCGCGGGGCCCTCGAGCCCGGGAGCTACGTCGGGGGGCCTGAAGGGCGCCCTCTGGCGGTGCGGTGGAGTAAGGTGTCCTCTGACGGAAGGCCGTCTCCTCGAGCGGGCCTCAGGCTCGGCCGGGCCATCGGTCCACACGGTGTTCCCGGTGGGAAACTACAGCGTGCCCGCTCCGTGGTACAGCAAACGGCTTGGGGCTTCTTAAGGTCTCTGGGGTGAAGGGTTTGCCGGCACACAATTACCTGGTGAAACTGGCTGTGTGAAGAGACCCTTGAAAGCCCAGAGCATTGATAAGGCTTGATGTTGCTTTAAAACACCACTGCACTGTTACAAACTTCCATTTCTTCCACATTTACCATCAATAAAAAAACCCAGAAACTGGATACTCATTAATCCAAGTTTGACAAATCGCATGTAAAAAAAGAAATTTGACAAAAGCCATGCCTGCTGCATGAGGTGTCCAGTGACTACAGTGACGCTCTTCTGGCTCCCTCATAGCTTCATCCCATTCACCAGTGGTTTTAAGGAAAGGGAATTAAAGGCAAGGCTGTGTGTCATATGTTCAATTACTATTATAGAATCATAGAACCATAGAATGGTTTCGATTGGAAAGGACCTTAAGATCATCCAATTCCAACCCCCTGCTGTGGGCAGGGGCATCTCACACCAGACCATGTCATCCAAGGCCCTGTCCAACCTGGCCTTGAACACTGCCAGGATGCTTACATGGTGACAGAACTTAGTGTATGTAGTTACCCAGCTGTAGCACGCAAGTGTGAAATACTGTAAGCAAATGGGGATTTTGCAACTAACTCTGAAATCAGAAATTGCCCTGCATCAGAGTATTTGGGAGAGAAGCCTGAAGACAACTGGAATAGGGTAACAGATAAAATTTTCTGATGAAGCATTTGATACAGTGATCTTTGTCATTATTCATACCAAAAGTCTTTATCTGCATACTTTGCATACTGCATATTTGAGTGTAATTCTTTCTACTTAAATTAACTTCAAAATGGAGTGAAAGTAGAATGCAGCATACGGGTGGTAACCAGTAACTCCAAGGGGAGATCCTTAATGAATTTACATGTAAATTGAATATTTATATACATATTGGATTTTATTTTTAATTTATTGCAATGTTACTTTCAAATGTGAAAATCAATTCATTTCAAAGTAAAATACAGCATGAAATTCCTGATTTCCTTGTAGATGGCCGAATCAGAAGTTCAGGAAGGAAACTATGATAACATGGTAAAGATGGCGGAGGAACTGAAAAGAGATTTAGAAAAACTTCTGGATGAAATGGAAAAACTAACAGGTACAGGTCTTTATTAAGAATGATAGGGATTTGTCTACTAAAGGAAAGATGTTGAAGATATATTGTTTATAATTATTGCTGTAAACTTCCATGTGATAGAAATTTAAGTGAAAACAACCACCATCAACTAATTCCCTCATGTTCTCAACTGGGAGAAAGCATGCAAATGATCTAGAAGTTTCAGGTGGCTCAGAACTGAAAATTTATAGGTCATTAAATCTGCTCAGTTCAGAGTTGTGGTTGAAAACAGAAATACTACTAAGATATGTAATGTCCAGTTATTAAATCATAGTATGTAAGATGACACTTAAGCCTGAAAAATGGTGGGAAACATAGTGATCTTGGGTCAGCACATGACATGTTTAATTCCTTAGCTAGAATAAAGACTCCTCTGTAGATTTAATCTTAGTCCTGTATGTTTGGAAAGGACTGAATATTCTTCTGCATGTTCTGCAACCATTCTATCAGAGACTGTGCAACTAACGAATAGATGGAAACCGTTCATTAAACTATTTTGCACTACATGAAGCACAATTCACGAGTGCCAGTGAGAAAACTACAATCTGTAGTACAACAAAAGGGAAAGTATGAAATAAGTGCTAAAACTATTTGCTCTGCTTCATGAGATACTTGTTATTTAAAAATCAATTCCATTATTTAGGTTGGTTTTAAAACCTTTTATCTCTGTGCTGCAGCCTCCTTGATCTTACTCCTTCTCACCTAACGTGAGCCTCCTCACTATAACTGGTCTGGAGATCTGGAGAGAGGATTCTTTGGTTCATTTATTTTAAAATAGTCTGTTGAACATTTCTGATTGCCTGTTTTGTTGTAATTTTTAGGTAAAATGTCCCTCTCCCTTCTGTAATTTACATCACTATTACTTCCACTCTGAAGCATTTCGAGACATTTATAAAGCAGTAATATTGAGTAGTCTTTTATTTAATCTTGAGTATTTATGTGGGTAATTTCCACTTTATTATACAGCAAGCCTTCTCTGACATAGGATCTGAACTGATAAAAATTCATGTTCTTTATTCATTTATTAAATCAGCTATTGCTCTTATTTAGCCAAAAATTCCTGGCTTAGCTTTATCTGTTGGGTTTGCAGTGGCGGCAACCTGGACGGCATTTGACATGGTGGTCATGCGTACCAACCCTGACCTGGCCAACTCCATGAAGCGTTTGGAAGACGCCTTCCTGAGTTGCAAAGAAGAGATAAAGAAATGGCAAGAAGCGCTAATGGAATTTAAAGGTGAAGAGCAAAAAAAAGAGTAAATTGAATTCAGTCATGCTCACAGAACTCCAACCCTTGGAAAATCACTCCAGTCTTATTTGCAGAGGTTTCACAGATACTGTGGAAAACGGATTGGCTTTCACCTTCCTAAGAATACTTACGTGTATACATCTATGGAAGTATTTTAATAAGATTATACATACATATATATATTTATAATTGCTGAAGGTAAAAGGTAACAATGTGTCTATTTTTATCATGTTCATCAGTAATCCTTGTGGTGTGTACACATACACAACTTGCATGCCTTCTGCGTCTTTCTCCCTGGAAGTTCATACTCATCAATATCCATGGAATTCCTTGATACCTGAACAAATGGCAGGGTGTGTGTGGTGTGTATGCAGACAGGGTGCAGTGAACCGTTACAGTGATATTGCCATCACATGCCTTCCAAGGAAAACTGAATAATTACTTGTATTTCCCAATGAAAAACAGGCAAAATTCTAGATTTGCAGATATATTGAGTTAATTCAATGTGGGACTGCCAAGTAGGTGTTCAGTTAAAGAGGTGGGTTTTTTTAGATAGCTCATCTGTGGTGGTTTCATTTTGCTTCCTTGGATTTTTAACCATTTCTTTGGACTGACTTTCCCAGAAAGATTGTTCTTCTCAAACCCTCTGAAGGTAGGTAGCATATCTCATTTAGGAGAAAACTGTTCACCATTATAAACTGCCCTGTGTGTGGTGTAGTTTGTGAGATTGCTGCAGAAACCAAACTAACCACGTTATATAACATGCTTGTATGTTCCTACTGCCCAATACTAAAAAAGGACGAAAAAATGAAGTTACTTCCATTTGCAGACAAGGTGTGGATTGAGAGCAGCAGCTTGTGGCTTGCAGTTACTGCATTAACAGAGTATCTAAGATGGAAGTCAGTTCAAGCTTTAAGAAGGATATTCCTTATCATTAAAATCAGTTTCTTTTAGCTAGAAAATAAGCACCATGTAGCAAGTGACAGCACCTCCATCCCCTCTTAAGAGGCATTTCATTATCTCAATTATATCTAAATTACCTGTCAAAAGATTTTTAGGCTGTATTCTTGATAGAATGTTTATCTCCTTGAAGCAAAAAATAAGTAATTTCACTTTTTTCCCCAAAGCTACTATTTCTTTCTAGAGGTGCAAATGGTAAAGAACATAAACCTATACTCTAGATTTTCCAGTGGACAGATCTTCATTACAGCCAAGGTAGGGCAAAATGGCAGAGCAGCATGAGGTAACTTAGATTTCAGTTAATTTCTGGAGAATTTTTAATGCCATGTTGTCACTTCAGTACCTCTGACTGCATTGTCTTCACTCTTCAATTCTATATTAAAACCAAAGTCTTTGAAAACCCACTGTCTTTAACAGCTTGTGTAGGAATCTACTGAATTTTCTGATTTTTGTGTGACTTTTCAGCCATAAAGTGCTACACTTGGATTGACTTGAGATCTTCCAGAAAGCTCAGTTTTCATTCAGACATTCAAAGCAAGTAGCCAGTGTTTTTAAAAAAATGAACACCATATTGCTTGAATCTAGGAATCCCATTTTGATTTGAGAATAGTGCTCAAAACCAACACTTCTATAAAATGTCTCTCAATTATGACAGTAGTGATGTTGAATCCCATTTCCCATGGTTGGAAGGCTGCAATAAGTCTGTCAGAATACTGGTTCTCCAGAGCAAAGGGTCAGAGTGCAACTGTAAGGAAAGGAGGCATCTGGTAACATTCTTTACAGTCCTCAAGTCTCATCACATTACAGTCTTTCCTTTCTGAAGTTTGGAAAATGCTTAAAAAATGGATATTGTTTTGAAGTATAACTGTAAGGCATTACAGCACTAACAGCAGATGGCATTAAGAGCACCTTAACTTTCTCCTCAGAAAAAAGCAGACAAATTATAGACTACTAACCATCGAGCACCAACTCAGTCTCAAGGAGAGGTGTTTACACTGAGGTACCATCCTACCCTGCTGTGAAGGAACAGTGAGTTAGCAGCATGGGTGTTGTGTACACCTGTGAAGACAGGCTAAGAAAGCTGGGGCTGTTCAGCTCGGAGAACAGAAGCTGCATGGGGACCTCACAGCAGCCTTCCAGTATCTGATTGGGGCCTATAAGGATGCTGGGGTGGGACTCTTCATCAAGGACTGTAGCGATAGGACAAGGGATAATGGGTTCAACAGGGAAATTCTGATTAGTTATAAAGAAGTTCTTTACTGTGAGAGTGGTGAGGAACTGGAAGAGGCTGCCCAAAAAAGCGGTAAATGTCTCCTACCTAGCAGTGCTCAAGGCCAGGTTGGAGAGAGCCTTGGGTGACATGATCTAGTATGAGGTGTCCCTGCCCACAGGAAGGGGGCTGTAACAGGATGATCTTAAGGTCCTTTCCAACTCAAACCAGTCTATGATTCTATGATAATATGGCTGCCTGAGTAGACTAGATCTGCTTCTTTCTCCCCAACAGTTCCTTTCCAGCTGTATGATGATAAGCAAAGGAGAGTTTGGGATATGCACCAGCATAGGAACACTGCATATTCCTTGAAAAACTATACACCAAGATAATTATACTTTTCCATTACTACTGAAATAATTTGTGCATATTTTTGGTTGTTTGTTTTGTTTGTTTTTTTTTCTTTTCCTTGAGAATCTGATTGTGGGAATTGTAAGTTTTGTTTCAGACATCTCACCATCTACTACGTTTCAACCCAGCTAGATGCTTTAGAAGCAGGAGAAAACAGAGAGCCCACATAGGAAATTGGGTGTTTCAGTCACAGGGTTTCATATTAATTTTCAGTAAAAACTATGTGGAGCAACAGCTCCATCTGGTGCTCACACAACTATGGCAGTAATCCGGATTGCTAGGTTGACATCTCTTAATCCCCCATCATCAAAGCTTTCTGTAATGAAAAGCGTCAACAAGTGAACTCCACTTTCGTCACCTGAGCCTGCACAGCAGTTACTCACAGGTGCTTCCTGTACTGTATTTAAGGCAAAGCATTCATCTACAAAACTGCTACAGAAGCCAGAGAAGTTGGCACCAGTGCACTGCCAATTTGGATGCCAAATACAGCAGTAAGGGACTCTGTTTCCTTAGTAATTCATTGCTTAGCCTCTGCTAAGTAACACTTATAAGCATGTCACAAATCAGCTAAAATGTACTGTTGCTTGGTTAGTTTTTCCTCTTGTTATGCAGACCCCTGGACAGGTTCTGGAACCTGTATGCACCCTGCTTCATTTTGCATGAGCTGATAGGCCAAGTCTTATTTCCATCAAGGAGTGTGTAAAGCTTAGCAAAGAAGTTATGGACTCGACTCTTAGAAACCTACTAAGGGTAGCAGATGCTCCAATGTTAAACACTGCAGTGCTTTTACTGTCCTTATCACAACAAAATTTACTGATCTTAGTTGTGAACTTAATCTGTGGGCAAGATGAGAGGGTCTACACCTAAGAGCAAACTGTCCAAGAGCCATCAAACTGAACCACCACCAAACTGAGCTGTGTGGTCTGAACAGCCTGCAATCACATAGCTCAAAGCACATTCCTCTTCTACATGTGAACAGCTATCTCCCCTCTAAGAAAGAGGCACTCAAGGTGTCCTACAGCCCCTTCTTATTCTAGCAGCTCAGGTGCTACTGCTACTGCACTGTATGTGGATTCTCAACACTTTTTAGAGTTTCTGTTAACAGCTTTTTAGCAAGTAACAGGTAAGAAATGGCTAAAAGCCTCCCAAAAAATTCTGATGGGCGAAACTGCCCTTCTCTCCAGTGTAAAACAACTGAGAAGGGGCTGTAGACATTTCACATGTTCACTTAGGCAGCTCGACCCTTGCCAAATTGTGGCCTACAGCTTTGGTTAGATTATGAATATCATTTAGTACTAGTGCTTTCCTATTTACTATTAGAGTCCCAATTCAGGTTACCTCAGACAGGGTCAAGAAGAGAATCTGTACTAGCTGTTCTACTTGGCATTGCTTAAAAATCTCACTCCAGATCCTTGCAGCAACTTCTCCCTGATACGCATATGAAGACATAATTGAACCTGTAACAGCCTATTTACACACGCTAGTATCAACAATGTTCTTTTTGCTGGCATCCTTAGCAGAGAAGCAAAGAGCTTATTGAGAACAAAGGGGGTGAACAACATTCCTTCAGTCAGTCTTTTTCTCCAGACCAAGGACCTTATTACCTAGGCTCTATCAGCAGGAGAAGTGTCAGGGCCTTTTCTGTGTTCATTCTATTAATACTGACTTCTTTTTCAGATCTCTGCCTCCTCCCTGCTTCTGCATTTACAGTTTTTCAACAGAAACATTATTTTCTCATTTTCTTGTTTCTGATAAACTATTGATTGCTTGCCTGGTTTTCTGTAGGTGCTTTGGATCTGAATCATTGAAATAGGCACACTGGCAGTAAGACTACAGGGGTCTGAAATGCCATGTGATTTTGCACATGGATTGAGTTCTGCTAACTGGAAAACTATTGGTGACTCCTCAGAAAGTCAAATGGTGAATAAAAGGGACACATGGCATCTTCCCCTTTACAGAAAGCCAGACTAAATAAAGGCATGTAGAGGCACTAGTCAGAGCAGGTACATTTAGTGACTGTTACAGCTTTTGTGCCACATTTGGGATGCCATCCCAAGATTATGAAATAGCTGGGATTTTACATACACCAGAACCACATTGCACAGAGGATTTTAGAAGAAGAAAGGCAAGACTGAGAGGCCATTAAAAACTGTTAACAGCATTCTGCAAGCCATGGACAAAGTTGTGAATATTGTGTGATGCAAGTGAAAATAATTAGCTAGAGCAACACTGAGCAGTAATCACAGAACACAGACCTTCTAAGACACTGGAAACAAAAGCCTATTACAGGTACACTGTACAAAGCATATTTTAACTCTTACCACCTAACTGCTGCTACCTAATATGTTAAAATAGTAGAAGGTGGATTTTAACTTGAGGTGCATCTAAAGTTGGGTTCTAGGCTGCTGCTAACTGCTTATCTGACTGCATGGATTGACACACATTTAACCCATACTTTGAGTTTTTTGAGAGCAGATCTTTCTGTACTACAGACACATTCTATGGCAAATCATCCTTGAGTAAATCTAAGGACCTGTGTGGTCCCACAAAAACCGTAATTTACAAGTCAAAATTCAAGACTAACAGTCAAGCACTGATGCATTTTGATAATCGGAAACAGGATGAAGCTCTGAACTCAGTGACAACATTCTATAGATCTTTCCTATCACATTTTAAAACTTTGAGATACTAGAAGTAATTATT